AATTTACTCGTTAATCCGATCCGTACGCTTTGCATAGCAGTCTGTCAAAATGATTTTTTGAGAAATACTGAAAGTTTCAAAGAGATCTTCGAACTAGAAGTATTCTAAAATGTGAAGAATACAACCCTGGGGGTACAAAATGACCCCAGGGTGTACGGATAGGGTGAAAAAAACATTTGTTCTTCACTTGCTACCCTCTTACTCTTCCAACAGATTTACTTTGAAAATCTTACACCTCATGTGATGACCATGTGTTTTTCTAAACCTACGGTACCCTACAAAACTAGCAGGATATACAGCGAACCAGTAAGTTAGGAACAGACCTCTGTATCGGGGAGGTTGATGTTGAAGCAACAAACAGTATGAGAATCCCCCGGTGGACATAATGACAGTCCTGTTATAAGACCTCTATATCATGTGTCATGACGCTGTGGAATGAGGCGCTTGTCAATTCTCGGGCATACGGAGTTATTGGTGGTATCTTACAGCTTGTTTGTTTGTTTTGTTTGTAATGGAAAAAATACTCTTCTATTTTAAATAAAAGTCAAGATGTTTGCGATTGAAGCAGGTGGGGGTTGCCTGATGTCAGAGGTAGAATTAGCGAGACTATAGCTGCCACAGTTTGCGACTTCCAAACCTCTAATGTCCTTGAAAACTGCAAATTAAAATTTTTTTTCCTTTGATCAATGTTTTTCAGTAAAATCCACACTGAAGAACTATCTTTTTGAGTTGACCTAAAACATGCTGAGAAAAAAAAATTCAAAGAAATTATCCGACAGATGGAAAAAACATTTGTTTGTTCAATTTCATTATTTTGACAAGCGTCTGATTTCACCACAATGCCACACATATAAATACCCTGCTAAACTCATAGCCTTTTAGACTGGTTATATATATACCCTGCTAAACTTATTCCCTTTTAGACTGGTTATATATATATATATAGGCCTACCTTGCTAAACTCAAAGCCTTTTTCTAAACTCTAAATTATGTTATAAATGCCCTGATATACTCCTATGTAAATAACCTGCTGTACTCGTATACAAATATCCTGTTATACTCCTTTATAAACCCTGCTCCAAGTCTAAGACACATGTATAAATACCCAGCTACACTCATATTATACTTACTCTACTATAAGACTCAAATGTAAATGCCCTGATGAACACATATAACCTGCTAGACTCTTTATAGTTTATAGGTTATAAATTGGGAGTTAGGTCTATACTGTTCTTGACAACAATGGAACTGGGGGACAACATGGATCAAGTCAAACAATAGGGCATTGATTTATTATTTTTTTCCAGGCAAAAACGAAAAACTATGACTATTGCAAGCCATTCTCCCCATGCATTATAACTCGTCTTGTCGTTCAGTGTTGTAAAAATGGGAGATAACTACAGGGCGCAACGAACAGCTTGAATTACTAGAGTTATGTCCCTCGTCTCCGGCAGCCTTCGTAACCTTCCGCCAGAAGTGCTTCCGGTTTGTTGCTACGCTACATTGTTTAGTAATGGCCGCTCGTCCACCGAAATGGATTGCGTGACTGGACTAAGCGCCCCGTGAATATTTGATGCTTGCTTCCCGAAGACTGGTCTCTTATTGATGAGAAGGTCTTTCCGAGAGAATCCGGTAAGTATTGGATTAATTATTGCTGCAAGAACAGTCGCGAAAGCGTGGAATATTTATAATGTGTTAATTTCCTACTTCGGGGTCCAACCGAGAGGACGAGCTATCATTACTTACTTTGTTTGTCTTCTTCTGTAGATTTGTCCGGACTTTTTCCCACTGACGTTTCTTCTACATTATGTCCCAACAGTAGTTGACCTTCACACAGTCCCGTTTACACCACTCTGGCTCTTTACAGACATAGGAGATTCACACAGTCCCGTTTACACCACTCTGGCTCTTTACAGAAATAGGAGAATCTTACATTTATATCTAGATCTAACTGAAGTTTTTAGACATCCAAGGAGGTCCAAGGGATTAATAACATTGTGGAACCATGGTTTTAAATGTAGGTTAACCAGCCTTACTATGAGTCGGATTTGAGGTTGCAACAACAGTCATCTAAGTCTGATTTTACTTTGTTATGTTTGTATCTTCACTTGCACTAAGCTTCCTATGAGAATTTTAAGACTAAGAGACCTTCATGTTTACTGAATTCACACAATCACAGCGCCGGTGTAAGAAGAATAGAATTCTAGTTGAAGTTGTCAGCGACCTGTGCACAGAAGAAAAAACAGCTTACTGTTGTGGTTGAACATTTGATCTCCTTGTTATGGTGTTGTTGCAGGACATCTGTTGGCTTTCTTTAACTACTCATGAACGCTTTCTTCAGTAGAGCTGTCTTTGGAATCTCAGTAGATGGGAAGCTAGACCTAGGCTTACATTGAACTTGAATGTTTTTGACACAGTTTCTTTATATAATACATAACTAATCCAGGTTTTAGAAAATGTTGGTGAAGGAAAGAGTTGGACAGTAACAAATGTACCAGAGAAGCACAATAAATATAGCCTAGCACCACAAATGTAACAGTAAAACACAAATCTACTGGCAAAACACAACAACAGCAAATGCAACTTTAAATACACAACAAAACACAACAAATATACCAGAAAAACACAACAAATTTACCAGCAAAACATAAGCACAGCAATACAAGTTTAAATACACAGCAAAACACAACAAATATAGGCCTACTAGTATAACACTACAAATGTACCAGCAAAACACAACAAATATAGTAGCCTAACGCAACAAATGTACCGTACCAGCACATTTTCCTCCTTCACTAAGAGACCATTGATTGCACATGCACAGAGAATCGTTACTCGCTTAGTTTTAGCTTGCTTATTGTGCCTACATCAGTACGACGTGTACATTTTATGAGACCAATCAGAAGCCTTTTTTCACACCAACACGTGCGTTGTTGACACATGCAAATGTCTTGGGTGGGAAAAGTCAGCAGAGAGACAGATGCGTTGTGAGTCACATTCACCCCCTCCCCTCGGCTACTGAACAATGAAAGGCTAGTCTAGACATCTAGATCTACGTGATGAAGTGCCTACCGGTCTGTGGAACCAAACGTTGTCATATGCTAGACCCTACGTATGTTGTAGCGCAACTTAATGAATTGTGTGCTGGTGTGTTGAACCAAACGTTGTCGTATGTTAGGCCCTACATTGTAACGCAACTTGTTGCTCACATTGCTATAGCGAAAACTCGGATTCTACGAAATTGAAGGTCAGGCTTGGTGACTTTTAAAAATCTTAGTTTCACTGTTTTTTAGGGTTTTTTTGTGGGGGGTAAGATACTATAAAATTTTCTGAAAATAATGAGCTGAAGAAAAAGTCTTGGTCAAATCGAAGGATGTGTGTTGGACAGTGAGCTGTGTGTGTCTGTGTTGCTTGTACGCTGCTAACAACAATTAAAAGAACAACAATTTTGAAAAAAATGATACTAGCCCTAATAGAAATGATAATATTGACAATAAGAAGAATAACCAGAATATCATGTGTGAGATTATGTATAATCTTGAATGCTCGTTAACAAATCTAAAACTTATTTCTCATCCTTTCCGTAGATCTAAATCAGTGTTTGGCCTGGCAACATATTGCCATGGCGACCAACCAGCCCGACATAATGGACGTGGAGGCGGAGAGGAACCAGCAGGTGGCCATGGATGCCAACAGCCGGGCGGAGAGGCTGCGGGCCCGACTCTACTCCTACGCCCCCAAGATGGCCCCGCCCCCGACCAATGCCCTGCAGTTCCGCGGGGTCACCAAGGCCCAGGCTCGCAGGATGCTGTCGCCGTTTGGGCCCACTGTGGAACCGCTGGTGAGTGTGTCCTGGTCGCAGGATGATTGAGAGGTTCATTCATTGCCTTTCTCACCCTGCACCAGGGTATAGGCCACGGACAGACACTTTCTCACCCTGCACCAGGGTATAGGCCACGGACAAACACTTTCTCACCCTGCACCAGGGTATAGGCCACGGACAAACACTTTCTCACCCTGCACCAGGGTATAGGCCACGGACAAACACCTTCCACCTTTCTCTATCTTGAGCTAGCCTCTTGATGTTTTTCCATGTCTTCCCACTTTTCTTTGAGAGAAGGGGGAAGAAAAGAAAGAGATGAGACAGAGCAAAAAAAGAAAAGAAGAAAGAAATGTAAAAGAGAAATAAGATAGAAACCTTTGAAAGTGAAGTGAAAAAAGAAAGAAAGAAATGCAGTGTAGAAAATGAAAGAAAAGCGAAAGATAAAAAGAATAATAAGGGAAAGAGAAAACAGAAAGAATTAGAACAATTAAAAATAATAAAAGATAAGCAAAAGAGAAGGAAAACGTGAAATGGTCAAGAGAAAGGAAAGCGAGAGGAAAAATGTGCAAAAGAAAAATAGATGGAAAAGCAAAGGGATAAATAAAAAATAGAAAAGCTTATAAGACAAAAGAAAAATAGATGGAAAAGCAAAGGGATAAATAAAAAATAGAAAAGCTTATAAGACAAAAGAAAAACTAATGCAACAAAGAACAGGGAAAAGAAGCTAAAGAGAAAAAGACAGAATTGTTACAGCACATAGAAAAAAATTACTA